CATCCTAATCATGATCTTACGTACATCCAAAGTCTTCATAGAGATTTGGAGAAATATGAACAAACTAAATGTCAAGGGGCTATTCTACGCTCAAAAGTTCAGTGGGCTTTAGAATGTGATAAAAACACATCTTTTTTCTTACATTTAGAAAAACGTAAACAAGAATCTAATTGCATCAAAGAAATTATGACAAAAAATGGTTTAACTCGTCGAACTGAAGATATTCTTGATCACGCATATTCATTTTATTCCAAGTTATATTCAATCGGAGAAACTGATCTATATAAGCAAGACAAAATTCTTGATTTAATAACTGATGTTCTTCCAGATAAAGATAGAGAAAGTCTTGAAGATGCTATTTCCATAGAAGATCTAACTAAAGCTCTGAAAGGTATGAAAAGAAATAAATCTCCAGGCAACGATGGACTTACAGTTGAATTTTATGCTGCATTTTGGGAGATACTTAAACCCATATTTGGACGAGTGGTGAAATGTATTTTTGATGAAAAAAACATGTCAAGATCAATGAAAAAAGGTGTTATTAGCCTCTTCTATAAGAAAAGGGGTGATAAAACAGACCTAAGAAATTTTAGAGCAATTTTGTTACTCAATGTTGATTGTAAACTTATATCTCGTTCACTTGCTCTTAAATTAAAAACAATTATGTCAAAAATAATTTCGCCGGAACAGTCATGTTGTGTTCCAGGAAGGGATATTTCCGACAACATTCTCTCTATGAGACGTTATAGAAATAGTGGATAAAGATAATGAAGATGCATATCTAATCACGATTGATCAAGAAAAAGCATTTGATCGCGTCTCACATTCATTCATTTTCAAGATTTTGGAAAAACTAAATTTTGGTACATCATTCATTTCTTGGATCCAAACTTTATACACTGACTTAAAAAGCAGTGTAAAAATCAATGGTCACCTTACACCATATTTTCCAATAGAACAATCTGTCCGACAAGGTGATCCCCTCAGTAGCTTAATTTTTGTTATTGTTAGTCATCTTTAATATATCAACATGCAGACGACACTACTGTTACAGTGTCTGATGCACAGTCTGTATATAATACTTTCGACACTGTGAATGACTATTGTGATGCAACCGGGGCAAAGGTCAATCTAACAAAATCTCAAGTTCTGTGTTTAGGTAAAGCCCGGTCAAACAATATACATTTTAACTTACAAGTTACTGTTAAAAATGACTGTGTCAAACTATTAGGGATTTTCCTTGGTCCTGATAAAGCTCAATGTGAAAGCAAAAACTGGAAAACCAAAATATCTAAAATTAAGTCTCTGTTAGGGTTGTGGTCACAAAGAAACTTATCCTTACAGGGTAAGTCTATTGTGATAAATACGTTCATAATGTCAAGGTTGTGGTATACTGTACATGTAGTGCCTGTTCCAGAGTGGGCAAGGAAAGAAATAAATTCAGCAATTTCACATTTTATCTGGGGCGGTAAAACCCCACTGATCAAGCAGTCGACATGCTGTGGTCATTTTACACAGGGGGGATTATCAATTCCATATTTTAAATACAAAATATATGCATTTAGATTAAAAGTCATTCGAAAACTCATGGATGCTAATTTCCATGCGGTATGGAAGCAAACGTGTTCTGTGTTCATGTCCCAATACATGAACATGGGTTTGAAGAAAAATATTTTCAGTATTGTTTACAGTCGTCCTGGTTTGACCCACATGAACACGTTCTATGCTGAGGTTTTGATTGCATGGGAAGAAATCACGTGCGGCAGGCGACTGCTTGTCACTAAGCACGAGGATATCATGTCGCAGCCTTTGTTTCATAATCCGCACATTTGCTATAAGGGCAAAATGCTGTTGTTTAGATTTTTCATTGATTCAGGCATTGTTACTATTGCCGACATTTGTTATGAGTTTATCCCCGGCTTTTTACCTCTTCCAGCAATAAAAGAAATTATACACGATCACAGACATGATATACCTATGTCAGAGATACAGACAGCATACTGTATTATCATTCAGTCACTACCAAGTGAGTGGCTGCCAATTTTATCCAGTAAAACGATAAAACATAACAATGAACATTATTCTGATGCTGTTATTTGCAAAGATGATGTAAATATTTCTTCTAACGATCTCACAGTTAAATTTAATTATTCCTTATTTGTTACTGCATTATTTTGTGAGCCAACAGCCATTTCATTCTGGGATAACTATGCAATTGACATTAACTGGCCAAAAGTTTGGAAAAGTGTATTCTTGATAGATAAATCCTCTGAACAAATTGATTTGGATTTCAGGTTAAGTCATAATATTATCTACACAAATGAAAAATTACTCAAATATGGCAAAACAGACACTAACCTGTGTCCGGTTTGTAAAACTGAAGTTGAAAATTTGCTTCATATGTTTGTATTCTGTGATGAATTGTATGACACAATTTCCGTTCTTAAATCTCTGTTCACAGATTTAATGATGGACACTGGATTTTCATTTAATCAGTTAGTTTCCTGGCTTCTATTTGGTTTTAATCATGACAAATCAGTCTCGTCTGAGCACAGTATCAACATATTGCTATCTGTATATAGAATCTCTGTTTTCAAGAAAAGAGCGGTTCTTTCTTTACAGAGATGCAATCTCAGTCTGGAAAAATTATTCAACTGTTACGCAAAACAACACTTTAATCTGTTGTGGTCAAGATATCAATTTGAAAACCGTGCTGATAAGTTTATTCAGCGATATATCATGCCAGTAAACTTCCTGGAGTTAGACGGTAGTAAGCTTGTATTTAAGTATCCGTTTCAAGAATGAAACGCATGTAATGTTATACATGACTTGAATGCAATTCAACATCTGTGATACCTTTTAGCCCTTTATGTAACATTATAAATGCTTCATGTACAATATCTTCTGTAATAAAATTTTATTAAAGAGAAAAAAAAAGAAAAAAAGGCGATAGACTAGAAATCTATTGGGATCTTCCCGCGCAGGTTCGAATCCTGCCGACGACGCATTCTTTTTCACAAGTGTTTTGTGACATCTTTCTTGCCTTTATGTGCTTGAACAGTACCCAAGCTCTACACAGTTTTGGCACACATCAGCTGCCCCGAGAATGTCATGCCAACAGGCCCGTTTTCCAAGGGTAACTCGTACACAGTGCATGTGGCTGGTCTGGGGTGCATGCATGCAAACTATTCCATTGAGCACAATATTATCTACTGCTACAGGCAGGTGTAGGCGAGAATACAGACAAAAGAGTTTGAATACAGCCATTGTCTTGGAGATGAGCAAGTTTCCTTTGCTTTGTACAAATCGGAGAGTAAGAGATTGGTGTTTGTATGTGTTAATGAATATTACTTGCGCCTGTCATATTTTGGAGCGTGTGGAGAAGTGATCACAATAGTGTCACGTGACCAGGAAAGTGTTGGTTTGCGGTCATAGTGACCAGGAAGTTGGCTGGGGATTCAAAAGTGGTATACAATAGCAAAAGAGATTAGGGGCTGATAAAATTTTATTAATGAAATAGAGCTTTACAGAGGCTTTTGCCAAAAGTGATCTCGTACCGTTATTCTCTATACTACTGACAGCGCCAAACCAGCTTTGTGGGGAAGTGAAAAGTGAAAAGGATAATAGAGAAAGGCGTTTTGGTATGGCATAAAAGAATAGTGTAACAATGAAGCTGTCGAACTAGAAGGAGTGAGAATGGCTGTAACTGCGTAACGTTCACACTGTTGCTGGCCGAAATGGTTGTAGAGACGCCTGCTAATATGAAAAATGCATTTGATTTCACTGTATGAACTTAGGCGTTGTGAAATGGATCGCATTCAAGATTGCTGGTTGTATTTAACCGAGTGCATGTCCGTGTGTGTGCTTGTACCACGTCTTCACTGATGCCGGTTTCATTATGCCAGCACACTGTACCAATTTCGACAGCAAGCATTGTGTTCTAACCATCGAGCACTGCTCTCCAAGGAAACCCTCTCTCCACAAGAGCCCGGTGGCGATCCTTCAGTGTCTGAACTTTGAAAGTCAGAAACTGTTATGTTTTGGCTTTTATTTTCCGAACATGAGTTCTTGAAATGCATGACGTAGAGGTTTACGTCGGGTACTCAGTAAATGCTGTTTCTGTACCCAGTACCTACAGTCATTGAAGTACCTACAGTCATTGAAGCAAATTATCATTATTACAACATTGCAAGTAATGGGGGATAAGAGAAAACCATTTTCTATGATAAATGAAGGAAGAATCAACTAGAATACCAATAATCATTATTACAACATTGCAAGTAATGGGGGATAAGAGAAAACCATTTTCTATGATAAATGAAGGAAGAATCAACTAGAATACCAATAATCATTATTACAACATTGCAAGTAATGGGGGATAAGAGAAAACCATTTTCTATGATAAATGAAGGAAGAATCAACTAGAATACCAATAATCATTATTACAACATTGCAAGTAATGGGGGATAAGAGAAAACCATTTTCTATGATAAATGAAGGAAGAATCAACTAGAATACCAATAATCATTATTACAACATTGCAAGTAATGGGGGATAAGAGAAAACCATTTTCTATGATAAATGAAGGAAGAATCAACTAGAATACCAATAATCATTATTACAACATTGCAAGTAATGGGGATAAGAGAAACCATTTTCTATGATAAATGAAGGAAGAATCAACTAGAATACCAATAATCATTATTACAACATTGCAAGTAATGGGGGATAAGAGAAAACCATTTTCTATGATAAATGAAGGAAGAATCAACTAGAATACCAATAATCATTATTAATCAACATTGCAAGTAATGGGGATAAGAAATGAAAAGAATCCATTTTCTATGATAAATGAAGGAAGAATCAACTAGAATACCAATAATCATTATTACAACATTGCAAGTAATGGGGGATAAGAGAAAACCATTTTCTATGATAAATGAAGGAAGAATCAACTAGAATACCAATAATCATTATTACAACATTGCAAGTAATGGGGGATAAGAGAAAACCATTTTCTATGATAAATGAAGGAAGATCAACTAGAATACCAATAATCTACATGCGACACGACTTTGACAAATTCAGGAAAACATTAAAAAGAAAACACTTATGTGCCATAGTCAGCAGGACTGATTATATTTTCATAAATACGTTTGGTAGGATCCACGTTTTGGTGTAATTTTCATTTATATCCCACTTTCCCTGATGTCATTTCTTTAGGTGAATTGCATAAGTCGGCATTGCACATCGACTCTGCTTTTAGCATAACTTTCTTTTGGATGCGGAAAGGATTTTGTCGTTTATATTACGATGATCCGATGACAAACATCAAATCTGTATTCCCAGTTTACTTTGCAGATGTAAAAGTCGTTTCTGTATATTAGGTATTAAGCTACTGCTGTATTGGATGAAGGTGAAATCCTGACTCCAAGGACCAAGGCTCTGCCTGTCGTATTCCTCCCGATAATGATGCATTAGGGCGACTTCCGGGCTGACTACATACATCACCCATCCAGGAAGGAACTTCTCCATTATGTGAATATGAATCAGATCCACAGCCTCGGGCTTCACAAGAAGTTTTGATCTGAATTGTGGACCATTTGTGCGTGACCTGTTTGTATGTAGAAATGCTTTCATTTTGAATTGCTTCGCAATCGTTTTTTCAGTAAACATATATTTCGTCTCATTTTCATAGAGTGAAAAAAACGTGTTTTGGAACATTAGAGCTCCGTATACGTTTTGAGAACGTGGATCTTTTGTATTCAGTACTCTGTCCGCTAGATCTACCAAAGAAACGTTCCGCTTAGGCACAATAATTTCATCAATGTCTGCAAGAAGAACGTATTTCGCTACTCCAAGCTGGGAGAAGACACAGTCATGGATGCTCGCCATCTGTCCCCAGTAGTGGATCTGCTCTGGGGGAAGGGGAAGCCTCCAGTTCCTCATCTCCACAATGCCTTCTCTCTCATATTGCAGCAGGACTTTGTTGATCTGCTCTGGTATGCTGTAGTTGTAGAAGATGAACTTGTCTGTCCCGAAGTATCTGCTGGTCTCCAGCGCCGTGACTAGTGAGTTGACGTCGGTGAAGTTCCCATGCACGGCAGGGTAACAGCGGGTGAGGTTGTTGTAGGGGGTTCCGGGGTAGTTGACAGGGAGGACGTTGTTGGAAGACGACATCCCGGTGGTGAGGACAGCAATGAACGCTGGGTAGGTGTCGGGAGGTACTGGGCAGTGAACGAATCCACATCGATTTCTGAAAACAAATGTTAACTAAGCGTGAAGAAGGCACTTGTAGTAGATACCTGATTTCTTATTCGGGAGTTGGGCGTGTTGCAGTTTCATTTCTCATTTTCATGGCTCATTTTGAGAAAAAATGAGTCGAAAATTAAATTTCAGGCACCAAAAATGCTGTTAAATCGGAGACAATTAACAAAATACATGATCGTTACATGTTACCCGTAAAGGTTCTCACAAAGCTTGAGGGTGGTGGTGGGGTAGACCAGTGGTTAAAGCGTTCGCTCGTCACGCCGAAGACCCGGGTTCTATTACGCACATGGATACAATGTGTGAAGCCCATTTCTGGTTTCCACCGCCGTGAAATTGCTGGAATATTGCTAAAAGCGGCGTAAAACTAAATTCACTCACTCACTCATAGCTTTAGGTGCGGCAAAGATAAATACTAGTCATTGCATTTGCTCCACTGATACTTTTAGCAAAATGTGACTTTATACCTTTGTAACATGTCTGTCAAATCTCACTAAAAACAAAATGACAAACACAGAACAAATTCTCACCAATTGACCATATTTGTTCAAAATTTCTTTGTGCGTATGCGTGTGTTTTTGACTGCTTTTACTGGTCCGGACGTATTTCGGGTTTACGAAACTGGGAAAGAACACTAAATTTGAATTTGGATACCCCACTAATATACGGACTCAAAGATTGATACTTACTTGTAAGTACCCCATCTACTTGGAGGGATGTGCTGGAAGTGACCTTTCACCTTATGACCGAGATGTGACCTTGACCTTTTCAGTATGCAGAAGAAAGAAACAGACTTGAATGGTTGCGGAACTAGGACAAGTGTCCGCACTGACGAGCTGGCATTTTCGTATATAGCAGAATATGCGAAAATTCGAACGTCCACAAGCTGAAACTCGCCTTGGTACTGCTTCCTTGGAGGAAAGGTGTTATCAAGAGCATCGTTTTTTAGACTGTCACCAAGACTCCTTGGATGGTCCTCTTTGAGTATTTCAGGCGCTCTGTCAGCAGCGTTTGTAAGCACTGGTTCAATTTGCTTTGTATCTCGGTTGTTCAGTGTTATGTTCATCCTGTTTAGGATAAATGCTTCCTGTTTTAGGGATTTACTAACTGACTCTGATACTGAACTGTTTTTGTTCTTTTGTACAGGTGTCATAGTGTGCACAGCAGCGATACTTGGCATCGTGGGAAGGCCATGGTACTTGATGGTAGAGTAAATCAGCAGGAACGTAAACAAGACGACTGCCACTTCTCTAACGTGCTTCAATCTCATGTTCTGTGAAAAGAGAAAATAGAAACAGATTAATTCATATCAGACCGTAAACTCTCAGGTATGACTGGAGACGCCGTGTTCCAAGTATCTGAAAGTGTTGCTGAAGAAAATAAGCATACAACTTTAAAGGGTGGTTTAACATTGTGGTACTGTGCCTTGTTCTTGACTTGCGCTTGCCACTGTAATTAAGAGAGACTGCCAATAGAGGTTGTACGGATTGAGAAGGCGAGTTTGTGTTAAGGTAAGTGAAGTATGAGTGAGTGAGGTTTGTTCCAGGAAGACACACCCAGGTGTAAAGCACGTCCCGATGGCGCTGGATAAGGATGTTGTATTCTGTAAAATGGGCAACCTTTAACATGAAAATACAACAATAAATACAAAACATAAAGTTGTAAACAATCCATGCTTGTCATAAGAGGTGACTAACGGGATCGGGTGGTCAGGCTCGTTGACTTGGTTGACACATGACATCACATCCTGATTGCGTAGATCGGTGCTCATGCTGTTGATCACTGGATTGTCTAGTCCAGATTCGGTTATTTACGGACTGCTGCCATATAGCTGGAATTTTGCAGAGTGCGGCGTAACACTAAACTCACTCACTCCATTTCTCTGACTTGAAATACTAGTATTTCTTGATGTAAGTATAAGGCAACAGGCCTGATAATATCCGGCTTATTCCCAATTAGTCGTAACCAATAAAAAGACAGTGGAACTGCCTCTTTTATTTACAGAAGCATTTCTGGATAATAGCTTGCAGTGTAAACATGTAGCGAAGAGATTTTCCCTGTTGTTTGTTTCACATCAATCTCTTTGCCTCGTATTTAGAATACCTTAAGGGGTCAATTAACGATACGCCTCTAAAAGTGTTCGTGTAATTTCTGTCATCGGATTTATACAGTGGACATATGATTCTTTCACCCGAGATGGAAGGAAAACAGCAATTATCACAGATTCTGTTGAAGAGAGTAGTGTGAAGTGGAATAGTAAATTGTTTGGATACTTCTTGGAACTCATTTGCGATACCATCTGGTCCAGAGGTCTTATTTTGGGTAAAGATGTAATGCTAGATAGTACGTCTTGCTGAGATATACATGCATTATTTAAGAGTGCCCTCTGTGGTAGGGGGAAGAGGTTGAACGTGTTCCTGAGTTTTGTGCTGGCTGTCAAATGAAGGGAGTTTTGTAAAGTGTCCAGTCCACTGTTTGCATGTTGTTTGGTTTTAGATAATGACTGGTGATCTGTAATATTTAAGTGTTTTCCAAAGTAACTTAAGGTCATTTCTGGCTGCTACTAATTTATCGTTCTGTTATTGTTTTTATAGAGGTCTTTTGATACCTTTCTGCATTTCTATAACCAATTTTGAATGTCCCCTGTATATTTCTGGAGAGTATTTTAGATAATCATGAAACTCTGCAAGGGTCACACTGACACCATATTTCACACTGCACGAATTATACAATATTTCCATTGGAGGTAGTGAGTGAGTTTGGTTTTACGCCGCTTTTAGCAATATTCCAGCAATATCACGACGGGGGACACAAGAAATGGGCTTCACACATTGTACCCATGTGGGGAATCGAACCCGGGTCTTCGGCGTGACGAACGAACGCCTTAACCACTAGGCTACCCCACCACCCCCCATTGGAGGTAGTGTTGGGCGCCGTTCCGCATCACAACGATCATCGTCAGTCAATGTTAAGTATGTGAGATATAGTTTAGTGACGCTAAGATGGCTTTGCCGAAGGGAGCCCAGGGCAAGTACTTAAGCAATAGTACCTATTTATTGCTAAACACTGTTTGAAACACCAGCAGTGGGGTTCACACATTGTACACATGTAGAGAATCGAACCCGGACCTGCAGTGTAACCTCCAGGCTACTCCACTGCCCCACAGCTCATCAAGTGTGAGGGCGGTTGGGTAGCCTACTAGCCTAAAGCGTTGGCTCGTCACGCCGGAGACTAAACCAAGTCTGCGAGCCTGACCACCCGATCCCGTTAGTTGCCTTTTTCGACAAGCATGGGTAACTGAAGATCAATTCTAACCCGGATCTTCACGGGTCTAGTAGGTTTAAGTTGCGGGCAACTAGAAGAGAACAGTGTAGAGAACTGTACGTTTTGATAATTTCTTTAGAGCCTGGAACGAAGCATTGATCATGTGGACTGAAGGATGAAATGATGTACGTATCTGCTCTGAAAGAAACAACCAAACACTTAGCAAAGTCATTGGTGTGTATTGGATACAATGAATAATATTGTGCGTCACTCTGGACGCAGTGAATCTTTTTCTGCGTCCATTCTCGACATCTGTGCGTACTTGACGCACATTTACGCGTCGCGTAAAACTCTGAAGGAACCATCTGAACTCTGCGTTAGAGCTATTGCGTAAGAATGGAGAGTTCAAACATGTATTTCCGTGCCAAACAACGACTCAGTGTGATCTGAAGACCTTTCACGTCAGGTTAGGTTTTACAGATCATGTGTCTGTAGTATTAATGAAGTGTAGGAATTAATTTTGAAAAGTCAGGAGGGCTAGTTAAAGTAAAGATGTCGCTGCGCCACATCATACTTCACTGGCCCTGCAAAATATCTATATCAAAATGCCCATCGGTCAGAATTGGTGTGATGTTTGAAGATGGTAAGTTATTGTCGCCTCTTTCGCGAAACGCTTTTAACAATATTATTTATATAGCGATCTTTGTGTGACAAGAGATTATAAATATCACGAAACTTTTGCGGACGGACTTTTAACACCTTAATAAATGACTTCATCATATTCATGTGCATTAAATAAAGAGGAAAATATCTGAGATTTTAAGCTAGCCATTTGGGATAGCTTTAACAATATATGACTGGCCCGATTCACAATCAGCTAGCATTTGGCTAGTTGGCCAGAAGCTATTTCGAACGTGGGTGTGTCCGCGTCAAACAACATGAAAGCAAACCAAAAACATCACAAGAGTAAACTACGTCGTCAAAGCTCTACGCATCCCATCTACTTAACATTCAAACTGCACATGCACATGTACATATATATGAATATATGACATGGAGAATAATTGTTGCGTGACGTTTCGTGTTCAGAATATGACACATGTTGGCCTACCTTGCCTCCAGCACTGTTACCCCACAGGCTTAACTGTATAATATTTGTAATGAAAACTAAAATAAATATACCAATCAAAATCAACTAAAGGGTATGATTTTTTTCCGTTTAACTCACCCAGCAATATTCCTGCCATATGGCTACGGTCTGTAAGTAATCGAATTTGGACCAGACAATCCAATGATCAACAGTATGAGCATCGATCTACGCAAATAGGATGCGATGACATGTATCAAGCAAGTCAGCCAGCCTGTCCAACCGATCCCGTTAATCGTCTCTTAAAACCAGCATGGGTTGCTGAAGACCAATTCTAACCCGGATCTTCACGGGTTCAAAACAGTATAAAAATCTAGCAAGGAACTAAACTCAGTCGAGATTTAATGGCCACAGATACGTAGTCGGCATGAGATTAAAAAAGTTCACTGCTGCCCGTTGCTGACTAATTTTTCAGTATATAACAATACCCACAGCAAGAGTATGACATAGTGGGGAAGCTGACTCAGTATTTTAACGAAGAGTGAGTGAGTGAGTATGGTTTCACGCCGCTTTTAGCAATATTCCTGCAATATCACGGCGGGGTACACCAGAAATGATCTTCACACATTGTACCCATGTGGGGAATCGAACCTGGGTCTTCAGCGTGAGGAGCGGACGCTTTAACCATTACGCTACCCCACCGTCCCATTTAGACGAAGAGTGAATTAGCATACCTTAAATTCTTTTGCAAATCCTTATACCGTGTTCCTTGTCGATAGCGCAGAATCCTCAACCAGAACAGTATTAGTTCAAATCACATCTTACTGCCAGGCTATTACTGGTATACAAAGCAGGCATGAACAACTATGTATATTATGCTCGTAAATTCAATCAAATGTATGTCCGTCACTGCATGAAATACTGCATTTCCATATGTTCCCTCAAGTTTGAAATAAGGTTGTTGGAATCTATGCCCAAAATCGAGTGAGTGAGTTTGGTTTTATGCCGCTTTAAGCAATATTCGAGCAATATCACGGGATGGGCTTCACACAATGTGCCCATATGGGGAATCGAATCCGGGTCTTCGGCGTGACGTCACTTCAACCACTGGGCTACTCCACCGCCCCGCCCTTAGGCGACAGAACATATGGAAAATGGTAATGGCACGTGCAACTATGTCTTTATATGCCACACGTTTGGCATGTTTGGTCACTTGAAGTATTTCCACGCATTCACAATGGTGCTTGAATGCTGCATTTTACATGTACAGTTTACACAGGTCTGAAATTAAAGGAAATAACAACAACCATGCCTTAACTGTTTCAATAGGGTTTAAAAGCGTTTCAAATGACAGGATTAGTCACAGTACTCCAGGGGCGCATGGGGTAGCCTAGTGGTCAAAGCGATTGCTCATCACGCGTAAAGTGACTTTTTTTATGCTTGTATATACAACTGCTTTGAAAAATATGACGATATACCTGAGAGTGACTTCCCTTGGTTTATATAAAATCCATTTATGAAAAAAATACGCAAGAGTGGAAAGTTTACATCGATTATGAACAGACAGGCCCAATGCTGATACAATGCATACCACTTGTCTCCAGAGAATCGTTAGCAGCGATCGCCCGAAGCTGATAACCTTGCCATACTATCACTACAAAAATAATTTGGTTTCCGGAACACTGAAACTGAGAAGAAACGACATGGAAACCACCATTTCCAGTTGGTTTCCATGTAGTTCCCTATAGTTTCATTGTGGTTTCCATGAAAACTGAAACTGAATTTTGCACCATTTCCGGCTGGTTTCCAGTGCGATTCATTACCCACTCCTCCAAGCAGGATCCAGCTGATTTCCGTTTTCGTTTATTGTAGGTTTCAACCTGGTTT